TAGGGATTTATGTCTTACAAAGGCCTTATTAGATGAAACACCACCACCTCAAATGGATGGGAAATTATAATTAAGTTTCATTGTAGTACAACGGGGAGTATTATAAACTTGATATTGAACATAGCTATGTATATACTAGATAATATCATGTCATATCTCTAGCCAATAAAAAAGCATATGTAATTTCTTAGTCATATGACAACGTCTAATATGTTCAAAAATTCATAGTAAATTTAGAGAAAGCACGGAATAAAGATCAAAAGCACTATTAGCCGAAAATAACATGAGTCTCTATAAAGTAAAAAATATATCATATTGAGAATGTAAATACCTCAATGGTAAGTTATGAGTAATTAATGCAAGATTCTTAAACTCATTATGAAGCTTTTAAATCTACTTTTGAGCCTTACATAGCTCATCTAGAAAAGGTAAATCTAACTCTACACCTTACGGAAACTAAACATTAAACAAAGTAACTACCAACAACACAAAGTCTTTATTTATAGAGTTCTTTACCTCTATCTCATAGTGACTGATATTTTGTGATAATCACTAAAAACTCTAAGCCCTCAAGATTAACAAAGTATAGAAAAATACAAAAAAGGTTTCCAAATTGTTCAATCTATACAATATTAATCTAAATGACTATGACAAAATATCCACGTATATTCTGCATATCTTACTTAATTTTTGAGAGAAAAAAGTCCTCTAGAAAGCCCAAGGAAAGAATTATAATTTATAAACTTTCTTAAATAAATTTGGCTAAAAAAATGAGAACCAATTAATTTTCAAAATAAATAAGCAAATTTATATGAGTTATGTAAAAATAACAAATCTAAATAGAGAGCTTAGACATATTATATAAAGACACCAAATTAAAGTTACTTAATAACTTTTCAGAACTTTATTATAACCATAAACATCAACTTATTACTGAAAGATCACCACTTTGATGTTGAACATACTCATTGCTTATATATGATGGTTTTCAACAGCCAATGCGCACACTCCTCCAGCCAAATCCTCGACAATCTTTAGTGTACTTGGAAATGGTTGTCACAGGTGAGCCCTGGCAATTAATAGTATTGTAGAAACAAACAACCTCATTACTGTTGTAGAAAAGCTCATACCCACTTCGGTAATTCACATCTAAGTTATTGCAACCACGATTGACATAGAACTTTTTATCCGATAATGAATTTAAACAATCAGAATTAGACTTCCATGCAAAAACATAGCTTGCATCTACTTTGTAGAGTGATGAAAAAAACAAAATGCAACAAACAAACACAGTGAAAGCCCAGTTGCCCATCTTGAGAACACAATT